ATAAGACTTTTTCTCTTGTTTTATACATTTTTTGAACATCAAACTATGTAACGGATTGCAATCTAATATATAGTGTGTTCCAAAAAGTGTTTTTCTCATGTATTTAAATTTTTTGGGACCCGCTTTATAATAGATTGCGACGTACTCTTGGAGCACGCATTTAAGGCCAATATCTGAGTACACTATTGTTTAAAGAGAACGTCGCAATCCATTATATAGCGTATTCCAAAAAGTTTTATACATAGAAAAAAAAAACTATTTTTCATGTGTATAAAATTTTTTGGAACAGACTGTATAACAGAATGCGACGTGCTCTTCGAGCACGTCGTTAACAGCAAAGTGTTCAGGTATTTTTGTTAACGACGTGCTTGGATAGCACGTTACAATCTAATATATAGTGTATTCCAAAAAATATTATTCTTATGTGTTTAAATATTTTGGGACTTGCTCTATAATAGATTGTAACTTGCTCTTGGAACACGTTATTAAGGACAACATCCGAATACACTTTAATATTAACGACGTGCTCGAAGAGCACGTCGCAATCCATTATATAGCGTGTTCCAAAAAGTTTTATACATAGAAAAAAAAAACTATTTTTCATGTGTATAAAAATTTTTGGAACACACTGTGTAATAGAGTGCGACGTGCTCTTCGGGTTAACAGCAAAGTGTTCGGATATTTTTGTTAACGACGTGCTTGGATAGCACATTATAATCTAATATACAGAGTATTCCAAAAAATATTATTCTTATGTGTTTAAATATTTTGGAACACGCTTTGTAATAAATTCCGACGTGCTCTTGAAGCACATTGTTATTGACAACATCCTAATTCACTTTATTGTTAACGACACGTCGTAATCAATTATATAGAGTGTTACAAAAAAATTTTAAACACAGAAAAGAAGATAAAATTATTTCTCATGTGTATAAAAGTTTTTGGAACACACTGTGTAATAGAGTGCGACGTGCTCTTCGGGTTAACAGCAAAGTGTTCAGATATTTTCGTAAAGGACGTGCATGGAGAGCACATTATATTTTAATATACAGAGTATTCCAAAAAATAATATTCTTATGTGTTTAAATATTTTGGGATAAGCTTTGTAATAGATTCCGACGTGCTCTTGAAGCACGTTGTTAATGAAAACTTCCCAATACACTTTATTGTTAACGACGTGCTCGAAGATAGAGTGTTCCAAAAAATTTAAAACAGAAAAAAGGATAAAACTATTTCTCATGTGTATGAAAGTTTTTGGAACACACTGTGTAACAGCAAAGTGTTCAAATATTTTTGTAAACGACGTACAATCTATTACACAGTGTTTCTTAAAAACTATTTTCTCAAGTGTTTAAATTTTTTGGGACACGCTCTATAAAGCGATTTTAAATCAGTTACTAGAAATGTGACCAAGTCTTACGTTATTATAGTGACGTTCTATTAATCTGATTTAAAAATGTTTGGTTTACGTTGACAATGCGCATAACATTATCAGATTTCGCGAATGTTTGTGTATGTGTATTGTAATTAGGATTTGGTTTTGTATTTGTAAGGATAAAAAAGAAATATTTATTTTGTGTGCTGATCATGGATGAAAGAAAATTGGTGTTGTAGTTGTTTTGATATGAAATTTTATCAAACCTTTTGCCATGTTTGTCATTATATATTGGCTATCTTAAAAATATATTGGTGTTTCAAAACTATATATAATAAAAAAGGACGGAATTTTATTGAATGATTCACGGGAGGTAACTACAGAATTTAATAAGTTTTTTTTTTTTTAAATATGATCGAAAAAATAATAACAAAGTCTACTAGTAACATCGAAGGAATCACATCAAATAAAGATTCTTTCTATCGCACTTCTTTTTCGCACACAGAATTATTAAATTTATTACTTAGGAACATTAAAAACAAAAGATCTTCTGGAATCAATGGCGTACCATGTTTTGTACTAAAACAAGTATTAGATGTTTTCTCTGAACCTTTAACATATTTGGTAAACTTATCATTTGAAATGCGCAGTTTTCGTCAAGCTTTAAAACTGAGGAAAGTTTTACCATTGCACAACCTTTAAAGTTTGAGAATGATTTTATTAATTTGTAGGAAATTTTTTGAAGTGTGTTCCCGAATTTTCAAATTACTAAACAATAGACTTCGCTTGAACTGTTCTTATCCGTCAAATTACAAAAAATTCTGCGTTTTGTAGGTACTAAACAAGGTTGCCAACTTTTCAAATTCCATTTACCGTACCGCGCAATTCAAATTGCCGTAAACTTTTATTTTGTAGTAAAACTGGGAAACAGTCTTCTACGCAGTGTAGTACTGTTCATTCATAGATGGCTCTGAAGTCTGAAGCGTCTGAATGGAAGTGATAAGTGAAATTGACAACAAAAAACCGTTAATATCCTAACACAACTCGAAATATTTGCTAATTCTGTTCAAAATAGCGTACTTTTACCGTACTTTTTATGTAAATACCGTACTTTTATGTACGGTTATGACGTTGGACCGGACATTAACCGAGTACGGTAATTATTGGAAACCCTGCATCTAAAAAAAAAGACAACAACAAAACAAAACCGATAATATTCTTACACAACTCAAAATATTTGCTAATTTTGTTCAAAATAGCGTACTTTTACCGTACTTTTTATGTAAATACCGTACTTTTATGTACTGTAATGACGTTGGACCGGACATTAACCGAGTACGGTAATTATTGGAAACCCTGCACCTAAAAAAAAGACTTGACAACGAAACAAAATCGATAATATCCTTATACGACTCAAAATATTTGCTAATTTTGTTCAAAATAGAGTACTTTTAACGTACTTTTTATGTAAATACCGCAATTTTATGTACGGTAATGACGTTGGACCGGACATTAACCGAGTATGGTAATTATTGAAAACCCTGCACCTAAAAAAAGACTTGACAACAAAACAAAACCGATAATATTCTTACACAACTCAAAATATTTGCTAATTTTGTTCAAAATAGCGTACTTTTACCGTACTTTTTATGTAAATACCGTACTTTTATGTACGGTAATGACGTTGGACCGGACATTAACCGAGTACGGTAATTATTGGAAACCCTGCACCTAAAAAAAAGACTTGACAACAAAACAAAACCGATAATATTCTTACACGACTCAAATATTTGCTAATTTTGTTCAAAATAGCGTACTTTTACGGTACTTTTTATGTAAATACCGTACTTTTATGTACGGTAATGACGTTGGACCGGACATTAACCGAGTACGGTAATTATTGGAAACCCTGCACCTAAAAAAAAGACTTGACAACAAAACAAAACCGATAATATTCTTACACAACTCAAAATATTTGCTAATTTTGTTCAAAATAGCGTACTTTTACCGTACTTTTTATGTAAATACCGTACTTTTATGTACGGTAATGACGTTGGACCGGACATTAACCGAGTACGGTAATTATTGGAAACCCTGCATCTAAAAAAAGGACTTGACAACAAAACAAAACCGATAATATTCTTACACAACTCAAAATATTTGCTAATTTTGTTCAAAATAGCGTACTTTTACCGTACTTTTTATGTAAATACCGTACTTTTATGTACGGTAATGACGTTGGACCGGACATTAACAGAGTAAGGTAATTATTGGAAACCCTGCACCTAAAAAAAAAGACTTGACAACAAAACAAAACCGATAATATTCTTACACAACTCGAAATATTTGCTAATTCTGTTCAAAATAGCGTACTTTTACCGTACTTTTTATGTAAATACCGTACTTTTATGTACGGTAATGACGTTGGACCGGACATTAACAGAGTAAGGTAATTATTGGAAACCCTGCACCTAAAAAAAAAGACTTGACAACAAAACAAAACCGATAATATTCTTACACAACTCGAAATATTTGCTAATTCTGTTCAAAATAGCGTACTTTTACCGTACTTTTTATGTAAATACCGTACTTTTATGTACGGTAATGACGTTGGACCGGACATTAACCGAGTACGGTAATTATTGGAAACCCTGCACCTAAAAAAAAAGACTTGACAACAAAACAAAACCGATATTATTCTTACACAACTCAAAATATTTGCTAATTTTGTTCAAAATAGCGTACTTTTACCGTACTTTTTATGTAAATACCGTACTTTTATGTACGGTAATGACGTTGGACCGGACATTAATCGAGTACGGTAATTATTGGAAACCCTGCATCTAAAAAAAAAAGACTTGACAACAAAACAAAACCGATAATATTCTTACACAACACAAAATATTTGCTAATTTTGTTCAAAATAGCGTACTTTTACCGTACTTTTTATGTAAATACCGTACTTTTATGTATGGTAATGACGTTGGACCGGACATTAACCGAGTACGTTAATTATTGGGAAAAAAGACTTTCTTGACAACAAAATAAAACCAATATCCTTACACAACTCAAAATATTTGATAATTCTGTTCAAAATACAGTAAGTTTACCGTACTTTTTATGTAAATACCGTACTTTTTATGTAAATACCGTACTTTTTATGTAAATACCGTACTTTTTATGTAAATACCGTATTTTTATGTACGGTTATGACGTTGGACCGGATATTAACCGACTACGGCAATTATTGGAAACCCTACACCTAAAAAAAGACTTGACAACAAAGCAAAACCGATAATATCCTTGCACAAATCAAAATATTTGCTAATTCTGTTCAAAATACCGTAAGTTTACCGTACTTTTTATGTAAATACCATACTTTTATGTACGGTAATGACGTTGGACCGGACATTAACCGAGTATGGTAATTATTAGAAACTCTGCACCTAAAAAAAGACATGACAACGAAACAAAACCGCTAACATCTTTACACACCTCGAAATATTTGCTAATTCTGTTCAAAATACCGTAAGTTTACCGTACTTTTTATCTAAATAACGTACTTTTATGTACGGTAATAACGTTAGACCGTATACCGGACATTAACACCTAAAAAAAGACTTACTTGAATATATGCCTCGGTTCCAACGCGGGCAACCTCACGTTATTCCCCGCCACCATCCTCTGCTCAGCACCGCTGGGCGCGCTGTGGTTATTCACCGCCCCTTTGCTCAAATCCAACGGTTGTTCCCCGCTGACATTGTTGCCGTTGCTCTTTTCGTTCAGCGCCGCGGCAGCTTGGAACGTTCGAACGACATTGGACAGGTACAAATCGGGTGTCAGTAAACTAGGATTGTAAAAGGGCAAAATGGAATTGGGGGTTCCGACGGGACTTTGGCCCCCCGAAATTGCCGCTGCTAGTGATGCAGCGATCATGTTGTTCTCTATCGTTGTCATTCCCAATTGCGGTGGAACTGGATTTTGAATATTAGATCTGAAAAATAAATAAAAAATACAAACCTAATATCTGATAAAAAGGGCGGTATTTTTTTGTAAGGAAATCTTCGGAAAATTAAAAATTCCGATATAATTGAGGAATAAATTAACGGTGTGGCCGGTGAAAAGAAAAGTAGAGTTACTTAAAAAATTCAAGCAATTCTTAATTTACCCAGCTATTCTGAAACCACTTTAAATATATTAAACAAAGTTTCTGAAGTATATTGTTTAGCTCTGGGCAAAAAATGGAAAACTTTTTGTTTAAACGTCATGTGGAATGAATCAACAAAGAAAAAATAATTGCCAACTCTATTCAGCAAATAGAAGTGACTAGTGATCCACAGCCAAGTACTAGTCGCGGTAAGCCTCTTAAGCCTTTTGAGGAAGCTTCCCATAGAACTAAAAAGCGTCGCGTTGAAGATCTCGCCACATAACTAGCCACAAGAACACTAGAGGAACGGGAATTCGTTGTTATATTATCTCGAGTTGACATAAGTACTTATCAGCCCCACCCTGATGTAACTTCCCAACAGCTGGTAGCGCTCTGTTTGGATTCGGACCTCTCGGAAAGAAAATACTTAATATTACATTTTATTAATGCGTTACATAAAAAGTGTTTTCCCAATATAAATGCTCTTAGAGACATAAAAAAATCATTTTTACCTTTAAATATATGTTAGCAGGTAAATAAATTTTGTGTGATTACTCATTGTAATATAATGTAAAGAACATTGGCAGTCAACGAATCGTCGACTGTACTCTCCCAGGCAGAACGAAATGATGGGTCGCCTTGAGTGCTATAGTGAGGTCAGGTTAGTTGATGCTCACGCATTGTGCTATTTGACTTATTTATTAAAAAATATTATTATCAAAGGTGGGATTTGCTTACTAAAAGTACCACGGAAGTGCCTGGGGATTGACTGTTCCTGTGAGTATTTCCAAGATTATTGATTCGTTACATTTATCAGTTGATTGATTTCAGATTGGCGACTTTCCTTTTCTTGTGTTCATTCGTTAAATTTGTCAGTCGACTAATAATTGTTTAAAATTGTTATTGGCGATATTGGTGGTATTCATTTGAAACACCGTCATCCTGTAGGGCGGTGGTCGCCAACCTCTCAATGTGTTGAGCTACTTTGTTAATTTTGAAATAAACAGCGAGCTACCCACACGGAAGCCACGTAACGCAACGTAAATGAAATAATCCACAGTTAATTTATCATTATATGTATTTATTTTACTATTTAACTGGTAATACATAATACATAGGTACTAATAATAAACTAATAAAAAATTACTAATATTACTAGTACGTACTTGTTCATAGCTACATTCCTACCTACCAAACGAAGGTGTTTGAAAAATAAACACAAACTTTTATCCAGCCACAACGGCACGTCACGTAAGATTTAAAAATAATTAATAATAACAACAAAAACGTAACGCACTATCATGAACATAAACATTGAAAAATAAAAAAGCACGTTCAATGAAAAGGCTGACACTCAGACTCATCGATATTTTTTTTAATATTTGCAGTATAATTTAATACAGCCATTCGAATACAATTATCCAAATGTTCATCTGTAAGTCGATTGCGATATTTGTTCTTAATAAACTTCATATTGGAAAAAGAAGATTCACAAAAATAGGCTGAACTCATTAATGCTTTCACTTTCAAGGCAACACGGCATAGAACTGAATATTTGTCTTTACTTACAATAGGCCAGATACATTTGGTACTTGAGACTAACGATTTTAAGGCAAAATCATTTTGAAACTCAATTACTTCCATTTTTGTTGCAGCGATGTCTTCGCCAAAGTTCTGCATAACACAAGTTGCAAACTGTTGGATATCAATTTCCATAAAGGGTGAAACAACAAACTGCGCTACTAAAGCCATTTCTTTGAAATCCTTAAAACGATTTTTGAAGTTATTCTTCAGGGTAGAAACTATTTCTACATGATATTTGCTGTCATAGGGTTCTAATGGATTTGAGATATTTTTTCTAAAAGAATAGGAAAATCCTTGGCATCGCTGTTAATTAGGTTTTGTTACCAAAACTCCAGCTTTTTGATAAATGCTTTTATATCAGAAATCATTTCCGCTAATTCTTTGTCTCTCCCCTGAAGCTGCAAATTAAGTTCGTTTAATTTCTCTGTAATGTCCACGAGAAAACCAAAATCTCTAAGCAAGATTCAATTTTCCAGTTCCGGAGTCTAATTGAACTATGCCAAATAGGACATCATTAAAACGTTTCAGCACCCGTCCTCTACTTAACCATCAGACTTCAGAGTAAACGAGTAGGTCCCCGTATTGACAGTCAACTTCATCGGCCAAAGTTTTGAATAATCTTCTTTGTAACGCTTGAGCTCTAATCTTGTTCACAATTTTTACCACCAGTTTCATAACGTTGTTTAGTTTCAGGAAATTTCCACATAATGCTTGCTGATCGATAATGCAGTGGTAACAGAGAAATTGCGGAAAAGTTTCATCTTTACGACATAACGCCACCAGACCCTTATCACAACCCACCATAGCTGGAGCGCCATCGGTTGTCAAGCTTAACGTTTTCGATATTGGAATTTTCTCGGAAGAAATAATATTTTTTAAATGAGAAAACAACTCCTGTCCAGTAGTGTGTCCTTTCAGTGGAATAAACTTCAAAACAACTTCTTTAATCGTAAAATCACTAACAACCATCCTGACGAACACGCCCATCTGGGCAGTGTCAACGACATCTGTTGATTCATCCAATTGAAGTGAAAAATAAACACAGTTATCTAAGTCAGTTCTTAACTGTAAAAAAATATCATTGCTCATTACTTCTACACGTCTCATCACTGTATTAGCAGCTTCTAAAAACGCCTGTTTTATCATTTCCCCGTCTTCATAAGGTTTCTTTTTTTGTGCAATTATCTGGGACACACGGTACGATGCTTCAGTTGCAGCCTTATTTTTGTCGACTGTTCTTAAAAATATTGATTGTTGTCCAATTAACTGCTTTTTTAACTGTTTCAGTTTCTCCTTTTTGGCGACAAAATGTAGTGGGAATGATTTTTCAAAATTAGAATGTACAGTTTTATGTCTCTCAATATTTCCTTTTTTAGCAACGGAGACCGAAGTATTACATAACAAACACACATTTTTATCTTTAACTTCTGTAAAAAAGTATTGTTCTTCCCATTCCGAATGAAAGTCGTATGTCTTTACCTTCTTACAACTGCTTGCCATATTATTTTTTGTTGTTCTCTACTAACCCAACCGCTGGACGTTGGTTACGCGTTCAGTTTTAAACTAAGCGCCATGTCGCCGCGCCGTGCGTATTTATCCCGTTCAAAGCAATCCTGATCGTTCTCGAACACTAACGCGCTGGTCCGGCTGGTCGGTTCTAGCCGATTCTAGCTTGATGGCGTCAGCGGCAGATCGCTCACCGCAACGTTGCCGCTGTTTATGTTCACTATTATGACAATTAGATTTTTTGTGGAATTTTAGGAAGCTTCTCTGATTTTTGCAGTTTGTATTTTATAAATTAAAATCGTTGTGAGAGCTACCAGAATTGCCTCCGCGAGCTACCGGTAGCTCGCGATCGACAGGTTGGCGACCACTGTTATAAACAATTGTAAACCCTGAACTAGGTTATAAAGGTAATAAACAGTTAAAATACAAATGTATCCTTTTTGATTTTTCCTGAAGTAAGTATTTAACTATTAAGTAATTAAATATTAATTAAATAATTATGTTTAACATTACTTTTCAATAGTAAATGTATTAATTTAAGCCTGTAACAAGTAGGTAACAAATATATTATGAAATAAAGCCCACTCCGGTTTTATAAACTTGTTTATTGTGCAAAAAGTTACTGTCTTTGCTGCATACTGTAACAATTGTCTTCTTTTTTAGGTTGTCCGTAATTAATTTGATGTATACTTACTAAATTTACGTATTTTAGACCAGAAGTAAACATACCTGTAATGGTGGTGGTTGTTGAGCAACCTGGAGGTAGGTAATAAAGATGTGGGCACTTCGCTGTCACTGTGGCTATCCGAAGTGTCCGAGTCCGATAGACGGGGACTCTGAAAAGAAAAAAAAAAAACGTTTTATGCAATACTACCAATTTCGCGGTATATATTAGTATTTTTGAAATTTCAATCCTTGAAAAATACCACTCGTTACATTTTTGTGACATTTGGATATCAAATTATTATTTTTTATATTTTACTGTGTAAGAATTTATTAATTAATTCATATATTTTATTTATATATATTAATTAGCTTGCGGTTTCATGCAAGTGGTAGTTCAAAGTTCTTCTGAATCACACGTTGTATCCAAATTTTTTAACCAGTTTGTAAAATGGCCACAAAATATTAAAGAGATAAGAAAAGTTATTATTTAAATTTATTTTGTACCACAAAAACTAGGTTTTTTATGACGTACGATTTTAGATTGCATTGACTGCACCCGTATAGCTATTTTCCGCTAAAAAATAACGATTTATCTTGAATATCTATATACGTGTGTGGTTAGAAAAAAAATGATCATTAAATAAATATGGCGTGCACTTTATTTGAATTCAATGATATAGACACAGTTTACAGTGATGCCAGACATATTATTTGGATGTTAAAAACGTACACGTTTTAAAAAACGAATGCTCACTAAATCATAGAATAGAAGAACAGAAGAAATCTCTAAACAAGCATTGAAAAAGTATTTCATACAACCGCATAAAAATTGAGCAAAAAGATTTAAATCAAAATGCGGAATTTGGTTATTCTCCACATCCACATCCATGATGATACAAAAATAAATTAATGGAAGTCACATCCAGTGAAGACAATGAAATGGTAATATCATCATGCACATCATCAATAAGTCCCATTTCCAGTGAAGTCGAATGTGAAAATGAGAGTAAAGAGGAAGAGGGTTCTGCTTAGTGGCATTCCAAACCGGTGGTGCAAGGGGTACGAAACACACTGGCGGCAAGTCAAGGGGGCGGCGAGGGACGATAAAAAATATTAAATTATTGGTTAAATAATAATATCGCTGATGTAGGGTGAAAATGGATCAAACGCCAAATACAAAACTGTTTAAAACACCAATTATTTGTACTTTTTTTGTCTACATGTTTATGTACAAACAAACATTTTTATGTATGAGAGAGTAATAAAACAGCATTTCTAATGCAAAATTTAGTACGGTCATTTTAAATATTTTTACAGAATAATCTAAATATTTCCTAAAATTGTAATAAATGTACCTGAGCTATTACAAGTTTTGGGTCTTTTATTGGTCCTTTATAAACATAAGCTGTACAGAACAATAGAAAAAGGTTTGGACAAGCCAAAAGCCCTGTGTATTAAAGATTACATAGCCGTATCTTAAGATTATTTTCAATAAGTACCTATTTGCCAATTTTGTTTTATTTCAATTCCAAGAATTTCTTACATTAATCGAATTATAAGTAGATAAATACCTTCCCAACAAATTTCACTGAAAATGCGATTATAGATTTTCCATTTAGTAAGGAGGTCCAAGTTGTGTATTCTTGACAGTTTACTAAATGTCGTTTAGTTGCAACTTGCAAGGTGCAGTGTGAATTCTAGTGTGATCATGGAAAATTTGAAAGGGCCGCGTAAACGACAAAAAATCGGTCCTTTAACAGCTAATGAAAAAACATTCATATTTAATTGTTTTAAATCATTTACAGTCAAACATTTATGTAAAAGTGTTGATGACACAGTGGAATTAGTTAGTAGTACGCTTGGTGTTGGGAAATCTACGATTTACAGAGTTGTTAAAGAAGAGAAATGTGGCGAGTTTCAAACAGTACGTAAAGTTCCAGGAAAACCAAAATTTCAATTAGAAAATCTTTTGAAAGACTTCGAAGGAAAGTGCATGCGTTCTTCTTTAGAAAAGAATTTTCGACAGTAGACAAAGTTCTTGCCACGGTTCGAGATGATAAGGATTACCCTGAAATGAGTCAAAGCACACTATGGAAACTTTTAAAAGATATTGTAGTATGGAGAAGAAATTACCTAAGGACTATAAAAGAAATGAGAAACCAAAGAAGAAATATATTTTATTTAGATGAAACATGGATCAACGAGAGACATAAACCAAATAAATTTTGGCAAGATGAAACTGTTACAAGTCGAAGACAGGCTTTTCTAAATAAGTTATTTACTGGTTTAAATCCACCATCAGGAAAGGGGCGCAGACTAATAATAGTTCAAACGGTTTTGTTAAAGGTGGTTTATTGATTTTTGAATCTACTCGTACCGGTGACTACTATGAGGACATGAATGCTGATGTCTTTAAAGAGTGGTTCAAACAAATTATAGATCTTCTTCCTCAGAACTGTATAATAGTAATGGATAATGCAAGTTATCACTCGAGACTTATAGAAAAAATGCCCACAACCAAGTGGTTAAAAAAAGATTTACAGAATTGGCTAAATTCAAAGAATATTAAGTTCCATCCCGGTTCTGTGAGAAAAGAACTGTATCATTTGTGTTCCCTTCATTAAGAGAAATTCAAAAAATATGAAATTGATGAAATTGCAAAAAATCGTGGGATGACTGTGGTTTTTTTTTAGTTTTACCCCCTTCAGACCTCCCGTGCTACACCCTAATCCGTCTGTAGTCTGGCAGTACTGCAGCCTGCGGCTTATTGTACCACCATTTGAAGGTACTTTCCCATTCACACCCTCATTCATTCCACGTCGTCGATGGTTAAACGCTAGTTGGATTAATCCCATGGTGACACGGCCCATGGTGGAACCTATCAGCGGTCACCCATCCACGACGTGACCAGAGAGATCACTGCTTAACTGTTGCGAGTAAGTGGATGCATACTAAGCTCGCGGCTAGCCTCTCCGATTAGATCACCACCATATCATTGCGAAGTAAATCCGATTGAACTGATATGGGCACAGATAAAGGGAGAAGTTTCAAGAAGAAATAATTCTTTTAAAATGAGTGATGTTAAACAGTTGTTTTTGGAGGCTGTAAATAATGTGAAGCCTGAAAACTGGAAAAAGGCAGTAAATCATACGATTAAAGAAGAAGAGAAAATGTGGAAGTTGGACAATATTACTGATGAAATGATCGAGCCACTCATTGTAAATATTGGTTGCGACAGTTCATCTTCTGATTTCGATTCTGATTTGGATTTGTAGGTAAGAAGTAGTTTTTATAATAAAATTATTATTTATGAACGTAACGTTGTTTAAAAGTCAAAGTTTAAACCCTTATACTTACATAACCCGTTTGACCCAATGTTCTTAACATACCTTGTGGAAAAATAAAACATTTTAGAAAAAAAAGCACTTTTTTACCTTCAGCTGTTTAGAAGTTATAAGCAGGTTAATTAGGTGAAAATATAAGTGTATACTCGAGGAATAACTTCAAAAAATATTTTAACTGTCTACTAAAAGAAGTGCTACGCCTGTGGCTTACGAACGCTTTATTATTTTAATACTCTCTCATACATAAAAATAGACTATAGAAGAGGTACATTTTGACATATTACTTTTAAAGATGAATATTGGATTTTGGAAAAAAAATGTCAGTTGGACCCTTTATGCACTTCTCTCTAGTGAACATATTTAAAAATGAAATTCTAAATGGCTTTTCTGTATCTTCGCTCATTTAAATCTATAACAAATACGATCAAAACATTCCCTACATAACCTTAATTAAGAGAGCAGTGCAATTTCGTAAATATTAGAGACATATCAAAAAGGTTCCAAGTACCTTTTTACAAAAATATATTTGCAGTAACAATTCAAGATTAATTTAAATATCCTTCAATTTAGAAAGAATTACAATTTCTAATCGACAGAGAAAGTGTTATGCAGATTGTAAATTATTTTAGTTAAGATTAACATTTCTATTTGTATACTGTTGTGATTGTTACACGCAGAATTGTTAGTGATCAAGTGAATTTGTGCAATAAAAATGGCATAAACACAAGTCAAAAGTTTCAACAAGCTCTACTGTATAATTTTGTAAAATGGACTTAACATTCTTTGGCTCTAAGGTCCAGAATTGTGACAAAGACCGTAATCCCAAACCCCAAGGAATATGTTTTAATTGCAAAAAGAAGTCTTGAAATCAGTGAGACCGCTAACAAAGACTCTTCAGAAGATCGGGATTGGCTGGAAGAAATAATATCTGAAGATGTGTTTCATGTTTGTTATAAATAGAGCTAGGAATATATGCAAAACGCCATATTTTGCATATGTTACATATAAATACAATTTTTGATTTTGAATGCATATATTGACATTTTGTAAATTTTTTGGCATATATCTGACGTACTAATTGGCTGAACATATTAAAATTATGAGTTTTGGACCAAAATAATATTTTGTGTAATGCCTTTACAGGTCCATTTCCTAAAATTTTGAAGGATTAACTTTTCCCTGTAATAAATTACGGTTAATGGTGTAGGTACTTGAGAGGATTAAATTATAAACACCCTCCTTAAACCAACAAATTTTGCTAAATATCCTTTCGGCCTCAATTCTTGACTTCACCGGAAAATTTTCCCATGGATAAATATTCCCATGCTTATATTCCAGTGGTATTATAAAATGGTATTCTCGACTAGGTTAGGAACCTTTTTCCTATGGGAATTTCGATTATTCGTATGTCTAACGTATGTCCGGTATTAAGTACGTAAATATTGGAAACTGACCAATCATAATCAATATTATATTTCAATACTTTCAAGTAGTAATGTTGGGATCATTGATTCTATCGTCAACTTTTGACTCTTGTTTTGCCACTTGCCGTCTTGTCAGAGAAAACAATCAACCCCCTTTTGTTAGAAAATAACGCGAAAATATATCATGTGCTGAACCTAGTACAAGGGGCACAATAAAGCCAAAACGAAGAGTAGCTGCTACAAAGTTAACTAAAACCTTGAATACTAGCCGAAATATTGAACGCATGTTACAAAATAAAAACTTTAATAAAGAAAATTATTATGACAAAAAATTCAAGTTATTAGAGAGAAATGTTTTGGCAAAAGAACGAATAATTTGTGCCTTGGAAAAAATAGCAGAAA